GAACATACCATATTCATGGATTGGAAGCCTTAGCATAGTAAAAATGTCAATTCTACCAAAAGTTAACTATACATATAATTTAAGGCCAATTTAGATCTTGGCATCACCCTTCAAAAATCTGGAAAAAATAATCAATTTTATATAGAAAGGAAGAAAACCCTATAAGCCATTTTTATTGGTAGCATAAACGAAGTGTGCACAATCAGCAATATTGTTATGTGCCGCTGAGTTAGAACTCATAGCTGACTCTCCAGTGGGTAGTCAGAGACTTCAAACTGTACAAGAAGAGAATGCCAATTTTTCTCCCATGGAGCAGCTGAGGGCTTGAACTGCATGCCTTTGTATTGGCTGCACAACACCTTACCATTAGGCCATGAGAGGTTCTTAAATGTTTGGTGTCCCCTAAATATGTATTTAAAGTCTAAACCACTAAACGTATAGATGTAATCCCATTTGAAAATGGGATTTTCGTTTTATTATGTTAATGTGACCATGTCAGTATATGCTATCTTAAACCAATCAACTTTTAGATATTAAAAAAGCAGATTAGGCAAGTTGCTGCTGTATGTTGGTGACCCTCCAGCAGGTTTTCAGAAGCAGTAAATCGCACAGGAGAAGACTGCCCATCCTTTTCTAGCAGAGTGACTGGCAGACTCAAACTGTATGCTTTTGGGATTGCAACACAGGTTCTTAGGACTTACATCACCAAGACCTCCCTAGATTAGGCAGAGAGATTCAAAACACAAAACTCAAAATTTACTGGCCCTGAGTTGGAATTAACTCTTAGCTGACCCTCCACTGGGTTTCTGAAGTTGTAAATCACATAGAAGGAAATGCCCATCCTTTTCCTATGTAGCAAGTGGTGAATTCAACCCTGCAGAGAGGTTGGGCCTTTGGATTTGCAGCAAGAAAGCACCAGAGGGAAAGTTACAAATCACATGAAGATCATAACACATGAAGATCCCCAGGGAGCTAAGAAAAAGAAGCTGCAAAACAACAAGGAGCTTTCTTTCCCAAGGGAAAAGAGAGACACACCACCATCCCCTGGAGTCAGAGTCCTGAACTGGGACTTGGAGCTTCCTAAACAGCAGGAATCTGTGTCTGTTAAAACTACCCAACAGAGACAAGCTAACTGTGGGGGAGCTGTAGCGGCACAGTTGGTAGCGAGTCATCCTGCTAATCAAAGTCATCCTGCTAATCTGCAGCAGTTCAAATTCAACTGCACAGGAGAAATGATGGGGAGTCTTCTGCTCCTCACTGTAATTTATAGCCTCTGAAAAACCGACTACAGAGTCAGCCATCAATCAGTTCTGACAGCAATATGTTCTGAGATCCTCAGATAAGAAGTTGAGAAATTGGACCATATGAAAAAGAATGTGGCATTAGGATTGGAGGAAGACTCATCAACAATCTGAGTTATAAAGATAAAATAACCTTTCTTGTTGGAAGTGAAGAGGACGTGAATCACTTTCTAAAGAAGATCAAAGTCTTCAGTATAGGTTACAACTAAACATAAAGAAAACAAAAATTCTCACAACTAGACCAATAAACCACATTATGATAAATACACAAGAGTGCAGTGGTCAAGGATTTATTTGTACTTGGACCCACAATCAACATCTAAGGAAGCAGCAGTCAGAGATCAAAGGACACAAAGCATTGGGCAAATCCTTTATAAGGACCTCTTTATTGTAACAAAGGGCAAGGATGTAAGTTTAAAGACTAAAATACATCATCTGTCTCAACCCATGCTATTTTTAATTGCTTCATATACACATTAAAGTTGGACACTGACTAATCAAATCCAAAGAAGAATGGATGCCTCTGAATTGTGGTGTTGGAAAATAATATTGACTATCTCATGGGCTGCCAAAAGAACAAACATTCTGTATAGAGAGTTACACTACAAACCCAAAGGCCCAGCCTCTCTGGAAGCTTGAATACACCACTTGCTACATAAGAGAAAGATGGATATATTCCTTCTGTGCAATTTACAGCCTCAGAAACCCAGTGGAGGGTCAGCTAGGAGCTGATTCCAACTCAGTGACAATGAATTTTAAGTTCTGTGTTAGAAAAAGTACAAATGGAGTAGTCCTTGGAAGAAAAGATATTGAGACTTTGTCTCAAATACTTTTTGGACACAGTATCAAAGAAGTTAGTACTTGGAAAAAGACAAGCTGTTTGGAAAAGTAGAGGGTCAGTGAAATTAAGAAAGACCCTCAAGGAGATGGACTGGCACAGTGACACAAATATGGTTTTAAATAAGACAAAGCCTATGAAGTGCACATGGAGTTTTGTTCTGCTACACATGGATCATTCGGGAGGCTGGACTTGTCAACAGCCTGCATTTATGCAGATGACACAGCCTTGCTTGCTGAAACTGAGGAGGACTTGGAGTGTTTGGTGCAGAAAATCAAGGACTACAGTCTTCAACATCAAAAAAGCATCATGACAGATGAGGAAAAGATTGAGGTTGTTGACAATTTCATTGTGCTCAGAAAAACAATCAACACTCTAAGCACAAGCAGTCAGGGTATCAAAAGACAAACTGCATTAAGAAAATCTGCTGTCAAGGTCCTCTCTAGAGTGCTAAAGAGCAATGATGCCAGACTAGAGACTAAGTTGTGCCTGATCCAGGCCATGGTCTTCTCAACTGCTTGCAATGAATTTGAGAGTTGGACAATGACTAAGGATGACAGAAGAAGAACTGATGCCTTTGAGTTGTAGTGCTGGAGAAGAGTCTTGACCATATCATGGACTGACAAGAAAACAAACAGATCTTTTCTAGAGAGGGCGAAACCAAGTTGCTCCTTGGTGGCAAGGATTTTGAAGCTCTGTCTCACATACTTTAGGTATGCTTCCAGGAGAGAACCCGTTCTTACAGAAAGACATCTTGCTTGGAAGGATGGCAGGACAGAGAAGGAGAGGAAGATCCTGAATGAGATGGATTGACACATGGCTATGGCAATGGGGTCAGGTATATAAGAGACAGTGAGCTTGCCTCAGGATAAGGTAGGGTTCAAAGCTATTGTTCATAGGGTCGATATGAGTTGTAAACAACTCCACAGCACAAAAAACAACAATGGAGTCACTGTGAGTCAGAGGTCACCAAACAGCACCTAACAATGATGTCACCAATAAACTAACAGTTTACCCTAAAGTGTAAAGATCATCACACTTGTGTACCATCAAGTAGCAACAGATACACAGCTGACCCTCTACTGACTGGAAATGAGAGTCTTCCATAGATAGAGGTAGGAAGTTTAAATAAATAAATATGAAACAATTAGAACAGAAACAATAAGACTACTGACATAGTGTGGGGAATGTAATCAGTATCACCATCTTTATGTATAGAAAGTGGAATAGGAGTGGGAAGCTGGAGAAAGAATGATTGAATTTTTCCCAATCAACAATTTATTCATTTAAAATATATTTTATAAGAAACATAAACACAGGTTATGTATTTCACCTGATGGTATGCATAGGAATCAGACTGATTACATCTGTGGGAAGAACCGCTGGAGAAGCTCACTATCAGCTGTGAAAACTAGGCCCGGTATTGACCACCAACTACTCATATGCAAGTTCAAACTAAACCTAAGGAAAATTAAATCAAATTATTGAGCAATATCATTAATATCACATGAACACAAGATTCTGAAGATTATCCAAAAATGACTGGAACAGCACATCAGCAGAGAACTACTAGAAGTGCAGGCTGGGTAATAAGGTGTCATGGTACTAGGGATATTGTATCTAATGTTAGGTGGATCTTGGCTGAAAGCAGAGAGTAACTAAAGGAATGTCTATCTGTGTTTCACTGATAATGCAAAGGCATTCGACTGTGTGGATCACAACAAACTGTGGCTGACACTAAGAAGAATGAGAATCCCAGAACACTTGATCGTGGTAATGCAAAACCTATACTTGTACCAGGAGGCAGTTGTCAGAACACAGCAAGGGAACACTGCATGGTTCAAAATTGGGTAGGGTATATGCTAGGGATGTGTCCTGTCTCCATACCTTTGCAATCTATATGTAGAACATATTATCCGAGAGGCTGGGCTCTATAAGGAGAAACGTGGCATCAGGTTGGAGGAAGATTCATCAACAATCTGCGTTATGCAGATGACACAACCCTGCTTGCTGAAACTAAGGAGGACCTGTAGCGCTTGCTGCAGAAGGTCAAGGACTGCAGCCTTCAACATGGATTGAGGCTCAATATCAAGAAAACAAAGATTCTCACCACTGGGCCAATTGGCAGCATCATGATAGAGGGTGAAGAGGCTGAGATTGATAACAGCTTTAGTTTGCTTGGCTCCACAATCAACACTCTTGGTACTAGTGGCCAGGAAATTAAAAGACATATTGTGATGGGAATGTCTGCTATTAGAGATCTGTCCAAAGTACTGAAGAGCAGTGGTGTCACTCTGGAGACCAAGGTGTGCCTGATACAGGCCATGGTCTTTGCAATCACTTGCTTTGCATCAGAGAGCTGGAAAACAACTAGGGATAATAGAAGGAGAATTGATGCCTTTGAGCTGTGGTGTTGGAGAAGAGTATACCATGGACTGCTAAGAGAATGAACAGGTTCATTCTAGAGAGGGTGAAGCCAGGCTGTTCCTTGGGGGCAAGGATTCTGAAGCTTTGTCTGACATACATCCTGGAAAGGGTTAAACTGGGTGGCTCCTTGGAGGCAAGGATTCTGAGGCTCTGACTAACATACTTTGGACATGTTGCAAGAAGGGACCAGTCCTTGGAGAAGGACATCATACTTGGGAAGGTGGAGAGACAGTGCAGGAGAGGAAGACCCTCTATGATGTGGATTGATTCAGTAACTGGGTAATAGGAGTAGGTGTGTTGGACACAGGACAGAACAGGTTTTAGGGTTGTTGTACATAGTGTTGCAGGTGACTGGACAGCACATAACAACAACATTCTCATCAAAATAAATTTTTACAAAAAGTCCTTGGAACAAGCAAACAAAAATAACTCACAAACTTCCATTTCTTGCTCTTCACATCTGGCTGAGCCTGCATCATTGGAAGCAATACAGTAATACTGCCCGGAATCATCCTTGTGAACAGCATTGAAAACCTGTTTCAGGAAAACAATAAGTAAGTTAGACCTGAGGCCAGCTGAGAGAGTCGGGGCAGGGAGCCCTCACTCAGTCCTGGCTGTGCAGGGCAGTGTGGCTGTCCCATCCAAAGGCACTGCCTCTGGGACTCTACAAACAGGTACTGCTGACTTCACTCAGAAAACATCTAAGAGGATAAGACAGAACAGGTGTCTGACATCCTACCTCAGAGTCCACTAAGACCAGGACATGGTACAATGTTTGTTCATTTCTTGGGCTTCCCAGTCACTGACCAGGGAAGTTTTTCTAATAGTGTCTCCTCTGGCACATGGAAAGATATAAAAGCCAACCAACATCCAGGAAGTCCCTGGGAGTTTGAGTCCACCTGGAAGTACCTTGGAAGAAAGTCCTGGTGACTTTCTTAAAGTCCTTAAGGACAATTAGCCAGTGACTATCCTCTGCAGCACACTTCTCCTCAGAAGCCCAGAGGTCATCAGGTTAGAACTGGCTCAGCTGCAATTGATTTAGTGACATCTAGGATGAGATGCTGATCTGTTATGGAGGGACTCTGATGATGACGACCTCTTCAAACTATTGTATAGCATAAACATAGACAAGTATCACCTAGTGGTATGGCTTCTTCCTACATGTAGCTGAATACGGATCAAGCGTTATCTCCTAAAAGAAATTAATGTGCAGAAAAAAGCTGACATGATAATTGTGGGGCTGCCAGCCTGTCCTGCAGCAAAGGCTTCTCTTGTCTCCTCTGTACTCCACCTTCCTACTTCCAATCACAAGAAATTATTTTGAAACAAATTCTAAGAATATTTGTCAGAATGTATGTCTAAAAGATGAAGACTTTTAACATCATCATCACAATACTATCATCATGCCTACAACACTGAACAACATTTTTATCACTAAATACAAGATACCAATTGGGGTGAGTCCAGGGGCCACAAGGATCAATTTCCTCGTTTCATAATTATTTTTACAGTTGGTCAAGATCCTAACAACACTGTTAAACATATTAAATCTTTAAATTACAAGTTTCCCTTCCTTTACTCAACCCTCTTAGAATTTATTGTTAAAGGAAGAGTTAAGTAGAGGTCTTCCTCTATTAAGCTCAACATTCGGGATTTTTAGCACCCATCCTATGTGTGGGCTTCAGAGTCTCTCCTAACACTGTTCTGTCCACAATCGACAATTCTTAACCCAACAGAGATATTTCCATCCTCACCTCTTGAAGAGATCTTACCAGAGTGCCTGTTTCAAAGTTTAAGAGAAACGAGGAATTTCGAAATCTGGGGTTGGCTCTGGAGTCTGTGGGCAGGGGCACGTCATTCCGATACCAGCTATAGTGAGGCCTGGGGGAGCCCTCACTCTCCTGGCAGTGCAGGGTAGCCGATTTACCCACAGGCACTGCCTTTGGCACTCTGCAGACAGGAGTAACTGGCTTCACTGCAGGAAAAACAGGGGTTGGTGTTTAACATTCAAGCAACATGGATCTGATTTTATCACCTCCAAAAATAAGACAGCCAAACTAAAGCTCACGCTACTGTTGTCCCGTGAGCACATCTACACTAGCTGTGACTTCATCCTCACTCCACCCCAAAATATCTTTCTCATTCCTTCCACCATCATGGGAAAGCTTTGGAGAAGACTGAAGTATATCAAAGTAACTGGTAAAGGAAGTACCTCTATGAGTAACTGGTATGAGTCCCACTTCCCTCCTCATTCTTTCTCGACTCTCAAGTTGACAGACAAGTCTTCCACAACCCAAATCACATGATACCTTTAGAGACTGCAGCTCTAGAAGGAAAGAGCTCAAAAGGAGAGCAGATCTCTTTTATTCTGCAGCTAAACCTGTGAAGCCTGGAAAGAGCAAAGACGGCTTCATTGCATACGAGTCACTTCCTACCTTGCACAGTCAAGTCAATGACAATCTCATCAATTTCCTTGCGGTCGTTTCGAGCAACCACTTCACAGCGATAAAGGGCTGCATCTCTCCGAGTAACATTCCAGATCTTCAGCGATGTTTTCCCCAGGAGTTCTGCACGACCTACCAAATCACCTGCAGAAGACAGGACAGGGCACATACACAAAATCCACTTTAAAGATGTCTTTGCACTCAAAAAGGATTCTCTATGGGCTTCTGACGTAAAAGGAAAAGAGACTGCAAGTATATTTCTATTCCTAAATAACAAAGTCATGTCTAATAGTGATCGGTAACCTGAGCACCAAATGTCATATGTAAGAGGTAGTCATGATGAGTCTCTGTTGTTGAATCCAGAAGCTTAATTACTTTTGTATAATTCTAGGAAAAACTTCCCATTAAAAAAGAATAAAAAGAAGGCAAGACACTTAATACTGCAAATGGAAACAGGTTAGCCACACAAAAAAGATTGGTGCTGGCTTCGCATGCCTACAAAGAAGACCTAACAGATAAATCTCTTAGAAACAGAGAAGAAAATGTTACTGACCTTGAATTAAACAATACTTTTTTTTTTTTTTACTAACAAGTGCGGGGTTTATTAGGGAAATAGGTTGCAGAGAGAGGAGAGGCAAAGAGGACCATATAGTGTCAATTCAAGTTTAGTTCAGCAGTCCCAAACCAGATTAAAAAGGCTCAAAGAAAATGAAAGTCCAGGTTCAGCTCAATAGCACAAATCTCTGATTTCCTCAATTAGTCCAGCAAACTTTATCTCAGAGAAGTTATAAGTCAGCTCTTCCTTCAATCATCCTGTGGCCTTTATCTCCATGGTTCCTCTGGTTACACCTTGCCATTGTCTCTTCACAGCAGTACCATAGTCTCTTCACAATCTTTCCACCACCTTTTCTCAGTGTGAAAAGCATTCTCTTATAGGTCCTAAAGCTGTTGATGATATGCAAGACAGTATGTCTGTAGTTAAGGTAGCTGGAGACCATGTCCCCCTGCCAAAGCAGGCTAATGCCAATATTCAAGGGTTCTGCCATCCTAATAGGGCTTTCTAGGGTGTAGTGTTTATCGGTGCAGTCATTTTCCCCTTGGAGTGGATTTGAACTTTCTGTATAGCAGGTTAGCATTTAAGCATCGTACCACCAGAGCTCTAAAAAGATATTCTTTTTTCCTTCATATCTTCAGTCTAGATATTGTGTGATCTGGATGATTCAGTCTAAGAAGCAGGGTTTGAGAAGGTGGACTTGGTACTATCAGAGTTCCTTAATTTTCAGAGAACTGCCATAAAGAGTTATGGCTAGAAAGGTGAGAAGGACTGGCATTTTATATTAAGTGGACTACCATATTGAGGTATAGTAGGTCCTAGAGGAAAGCATATGAGTTGGCATCCAGGGAATAAAAATTCCACAAGGAGAGTGGCCAGAGCTTGACTATAAATCCACTGAGGAGTGTGCAAGACTTGTGGAGAATGTGACATTATGGCTTACTGGTGGTGGACTATGTTGCCGTACACACTCAATGTCATGAAATTGACTCTGATATTATGGTAAGTAGCTCCAGAGGCAAGAGGTAGAATTTCCAAGTACCTGAATTTGAGTAAATCTTGAATAAGGACAGTTATTAGAATGCCGTATTTTCTAGTTGAACTGTGAAAGGCTTCCTAAGAGTCACAGTTTGTGGAGGGACAGTGGGATCTGAAGTCGATTTTGCTCAGGACAGGAGGAGCACATACCGTTTTGAGGAAGCAGTAGTGTGACTTGATGGGCTCAGCTTTGTCCTCCTAACCCTTCAGTTTCTCTCCCTTTCTACCCCTCCAGTAGGGAGCAAGTTGGCCAGAAGAGGAAGAGTATGTGAAGAACTTCAGGGTTGAATCTCTGAAGGCTGCTCTTCTAAACAATACTTTTTTTAGATAAGACACTCAAAGTATCCAAAGGAAAAAAACCAAAATCCAGGCTTCCACCAAATTATAATATCTCTGTTCTTCAAAGGATATTCTTCTTTTTAATTTCTTTTTTATTAATTTTAATGAAAGTTTACAGAGACTTTGGATTTCCATTCATTGTTGCCCTGCCCAACCTCCCCAGTAATTTCCTCTTCTCTTTGAAAAGTAAAAGGAAATTGTTTTCATTGTTATACAATCCCTCCCCCCATGTCCACTCCACTATGCAGCCTTCATTCTGTACTCCTGTCATGACAATAATATCTAACCATAAATCCCTTTTAAACAGTTCTTGCCCTCATCTGTTTCAATGCAGTATACGTAATTTATCCCATCTTTCTCAATCTACCCCCAAAGCCGATGTCAGTCCCGTTTTACAACAGTGGCACTATGCAGTATTTGTTCTTTTGTGACTCATTTTGTATAATATTTCATGAGTTCCTTGTTTTTCAATGCAGCACAGTATTCCATTGTGTGACTATACTGGAGCTTCTCTATCCATTCATTTGTTGATGGGCATTTAGGTTGTTTCCAACTCTTTGCTTTTGTGAACAAAGCCAAGATAAACATGATGTGCATATATCTGCTTGGGTGGCAGATCTGGTTTCTTTGGGGTATATTCCCAGTAGTGGAATTGCTGGGTCAAATGGTATTTCTATTTCCAACTTTTTGAGAAAGCACTATACCGCCTTCCATAGTAGTTGCACCATTTTACATTCCCACCGACAGTGAATAAGGGTTCCAGTTTCTCCACAATCTCGCCAGCATTTGTTGTTTGCTGTTCTATTTTGCTATTCTTACTGGCGTGGGATAAAGAAATGTTAAAAATCCCTAGCTCTAAGAGAGATCAAAGTATATTCCTAAGAAACTAAAAAGATTCTCTCTGGTATTAAAGAAAATATTTGTATATTACATATGGACAAGACCAAACAAAAACAGTAATATTCAAAAATATATTAAAATCTATAATGCAAAAATGATATTGTTGTTATTACGTGCTGTTGTGTCACCTGCAACTCACAACGACTTTATGCACAATAGCTCTGAACCCTGCCCTATACTGAGCAAATCTGCTTCTGACACACCTATTCTCATTACTATATCAATCCATTTCCTCCAGGGTCTTCCTCTCCTGCACTATCCATCACCCTTCCAAGCATGATGTCCTTCTCCAAGGACTGGTCCCTATTGGCAACATGCCAAAGTATGTCAGACAGTTTCAAAATTCTTACCTCTAAGGAGCAACTTGGTTTCATCCTCTCCAGGACAGACCTGTTTATTCTCTTGTCAGTCCATGGCACGTTCAACATTCTTCTCCAGCACCGCACCTCAAAGGCATTGATTCTTCTTTTGTCATCTTTAGTCACTGTCCTGCTCTCTCATGCACAGCAAGTAACTACAAAGACAATGGCCTAGATCAGGTTCACCTAAGTCTCTAGACTGACATCACTGCTGTTCAACATTCTTGAGAGGTCCCTGACAACAGATTTCACTAATGCAAACTGTTTTCTGATTTCCTGACTGCTGGTGCCAAGAGTGTTGATTGTGGAACCAAGCAAGCTGAAATTGTTAATAATCTCAATTTCTTCTCTTGTCTGTCAAGATGTTGCCAACTGGCCCAGTGTTGAGAATCTTTGTTTACCTGACATTGAGTTTTAATCCATATTGAAGACTGCAGATCTTCACCTTCTGTAGCAAATGCTTCAGGTCCTCCTCACTTATGACAAGCAAGATTGTGTCATCTGAGGAACACAAGTTGTTGATGAGTCTTCCTCCATTCCTGATGCCACATTCCTCCTCATAAAGCCCAGCCTCCCGAATGATCTGTTCTGCACATAGATTGAAAAGTTATGGAGACAGGATGCATCCCTGAAGCACACACTTGCTAATTTTGAACCATGCTGTGTTTCCTTGCTCTGTTCTGATGACTGCTTCCTGGGCCAACTATAGATTTCTCATGAACATAATCGAATGTTCTGGGATTCCCATTGTCCTCAAAGTTAGCCACAATTTGTTGTGATCCACGTAGTCACATGCCTTTGCATAGTCAATGAAACACAGATGGACATTTTACTGGTACCTTGTTTTCAGCCAATATCCATTGACAGTATCCCCCTGTCAGTAGTTCTCTGTTGATGTTCCAGTCATTTTTGGATACTCCTTCCCCACTCTTTTTTCCAAAACCACTTTAATGAAGTACAATTTGCATACTACAAAATTCAATTCAGTGATTTTAGGAGTCACCACCACAGTCTAGTTTTAGAACTCTTCCATCACTCCAAAAAGCTCCCTTGTTCTTATTTGAAGCTGATCATTGCTTCTATCCCCCCTGTGTCATGTGCCAAGCAATTCTGACTCATAGTCAATCTAGATGACAGAGAAAGCCCTCATAGGATTTCCAAGGCAGTAATATTTACTAGAGTAGATCCCCAGATCTGTTCTTATGGGAAGCTACTTGGTGTGCTCAAAACTCAGACCTTTTTAGTTAGCAAGTGAATGCTTAACCACTGCACAATGATGGCTCTCTTCTTTCACTTGTTGTTATATGCCATTGTGTTAGAACCAAATCATAGCTGACCTATGAGTCATCATCTAGTGGGTCTTCAAAGGCTGTACACAACACATAGATTGCCCTTCTCCCACAGAGCGGCTGGTCAGTTCGAACCACGCCTTTCATGTGGCAGTGTGACTCCCTACCACTAGACCACCAAAGCTTCCTCTTTCTTTCTTTCACTTAGGATAAGGTTTTCCAGTATGAATTCACTAAGAATAATGTTTTTTCAGTATGGCTAACACCTTAAAATACAGTAGACAAAAATCCTTGCAACTATTTCAATAAAGCTAATAAGCCATGATGAACATAGAAAAGATTTAAATGGTCAAGGATGTCATTTGGCTGGAACCAACAACACCATGGAAGCAACACTCGAAATTTTGCTTGCGTGTGATATTGTTCAATAATTTCCACACTCTGTCAGGTCACCTATTTTTTGGAACAGGAATAAATACAGACCTCTTCTAGTCAGTTGTCCAGGTAGTTAGACAAACTAACTAATCAAAGAACATTTCTCCAATGAGACAAACAAATGGTCAGAAAAGATACCAGTAGTCATCACTGTTGTTGTGGTTGTTCTTTTATAGGTGCCATAAAGTCAACTTCTATACACTGCCATCATATTTATAACAGACTGAAGACCTGACTAATCCAGTGGATCCACATAACCTCGGCTGTGCATGACCCAACAGTCACTGTGTTGTTAGTTTGATCTCACTGAGGGCATTCCTTGTCTCCTCATACTTGCCTCTAAGGAACGCCCTGGCTGTGTATTTTTCAAGGCAGATGTGGTTGTTTTAGGCAGTTAATGACATCCCCAACATTCTGTAGCAAACATACTTGACCACATCACAATTCAATGCTCCTTCAGTCTTCCTCACTCATTGCCCATCTTTCACATGCAGATGAAGGATCTGGCACACCTTTGTATTTAGACAGACATCCTTGCTCTTTATTTAGCACTTTAAAAAGGTCCTTGAAAGCAGATTTACCTTCTGTGATCATTTAAGTGCTACTTCTGTGAATGTTGATTATAGAGCCTAGTAAAATGAAATCTTTGACATCTTCAACCATTTCTCCATCTATCACAGTACTGACTGTTTCATCCCATTATGAGGAGTTTTGTTTCTTTATGGTAAGGCGTAATCCATACTAGAAACATGCTCGCTTCAACAGCACAGATACTAAAATCCATACTGAAAGCTCTTGAGTATTCTACCCTTTAGTAAGTACTTCAAGAACTTTTTGCTTTCAGTGAGCAAGGTTGTGTCAGCTACATAATGCAGGCTGTTAATGAATCTCCTTTCAATTCTGATGTCACAATCCTCTTCACACACAGTTCAGCTCTTTGAATTATTTGTTCAGTAATACAAACTGACTAGGTATGATGTGAAGATATAAACCTGATTCACACCCTGCCTGATTTTAAACCATGCAATGTCCCTTTGCTCTGTTCACATTACTACTTTTTAGTTCACACAGAGGAACTCCCATTCTTCTAAATGTTGTCCATAAGGTATTGTGACCCACACAGCTGAATGTTGCATCATAGTTAATAAAATACATGTAAACATCTTTCTTGTATTCTCTGCTTTCAATCAAGATCTATCTGGAATAAGCAGTGATAGCCCTTGATCAACAACCTCCAATGAATCCAGACTGAGTTTCTGGCAGTTTCCTCTCAATTTACTGTTCCAGTGATCACTCCCCCCCCCCCTTATCTTCAGTAAAATTGTACTTCTAGGAAATATTAATTAAACTGTTAGCAATGTGTTGATTACCTTTATTGGAGAAAGAAAAAAAAAATGGATCTCTTCTAGATGTATATCCAAGAGAAATGAGTTCATATGCCTACATGAAAACTGGTACAAAAATGTTTGAAGCAGCATTATTCACTATAGTCCAAAAGGGAAAGGAATACAAATATAAACACTGATGAACAGATAAGTAAAATATGACAGATCTATTCATAAAAAGGAATGGTGTCTTTATTAAAAAAATAACAAAAGACTACATATTGTATGATTTTATTTATATGAAGTATCTAGAATAGGTAGGTAAATGTACAGATACACAAAAATATAGCTAAATGGTGTCAAGGAGAGAAGAGGAGATTGACAAACAAGGTAGAAGAGAAACTGGCATAGACAGTAATTTCACTAAGCTTAACAACTGGTGACAAGCACAGGAAGTATAATATAATAAAAAGATGGCTAGGATAGTGTATGAACATTTCCAGAGGCAATTTCTAACAGAAAGGCTCGTTATATGGTTGTTATCAGTGGATGATGAAAATCTGTTCATTGTGAGCAAACAAGAAATAAAAACATCGCTTAGGGTCAGAAAGACCAGGCAGACTCAAGTTTTCCTCCATCGCTCATATTTTGGGTGGCTTTTTTCTCAATTTTAAAAACATTTTTATTTGAATAAAAGTTTCTCAATCACACTTTTTCATCCAATCACCCATACACATTTTGTTTTATAACATTAATTACAATTTATTAATGTAACATATTTTGGTATTATATACACTCCTTATAATCATCCTTATTGCTAAGAGAAAGTATTTAATTGCCAGAAATAGAAAGTTCTTTAAAGAAAATTTCTACTTGGTTTTTCTGATGACTACAATTACATGTATATGTATATGCAAGGGCAGCCTAATTTGCCAAAGAAAACCAATCTCTTTTCTCAAAATAGCACCTCCAACTTTCAAAAGATGAAAAGTAGTGGGGTCTTCTCATTGATGGAAAATCAAAACTATTTTTAAGATCTTGTCATTTCCAATAATATTGAGAACTCAAAGCGGAAAAATTGAATTTATGCTTTTTCCACAAAATCTCTTACCCATTTTGGAAATTTCAACTATCAACTTTTCTGAAACCTCTGAAGGTGCCATTATAAATTTATATGCTTTGGTACCTTAATGTCTTATCTGTCCCCTTTTTCTGAAGGAAAGTGATGTCCCACTTCTTACCTCTTAAAATTCTCCTTCTCATTGACTTGTTAAGGCTAAGTCATGTCTCTCCAGCTTAGCACACTCAGCTCCTCTGGGCCCCTCCTCAAGAACTCTGGATCCTGTCTTAAGCTCCTAGTTCTATCTGCCTCCAACTTACAATATTTCCAAGCACAAATGTGATCACATCATTTTCCTCTTAAAGTGCTTCAGTGGATTCTCACGTCCCTTACCTTAATGTCTAGTCTTACCTTGTCATCAGTCCTTCACAATCCAGTGGTGTATCTCTCTCCATCCTGTTTCTATTTCTCTCCAGGCCTCGTTTACTGTGGAGAACTTGCAGTTTCTCCAATAAGTCAAACTACTGCTTTGTATCTACATCTTAGGCACAGAATTCTGTCTTGCCTCAATATTTTTCTATGCCACACCCCCTTCACTCTCTTGCCTGGAAAACTAGCATCATACCTCTGTTTAGGTGTCACTTCTGGGAAGATATCCTTAACATCCCATTTCCCCAAGCTCATGCAATGTCAGAGAATTGGATGCCAACCCTCTCCTAGCACTGTGAGAATATCTAAAAGCTTGTCTACAGATGGGCGTCCTGGGCAACCACTGTCATGTCTGGCCTACAGGAGATGTGCAGAAAATTCCTTGGCCTTCTTTCTGTGGTATATGATTCCCCCCTCCCCCCATTTATTCACATCATTTATACCAGCAACCAGGCTAGACTGAGGATAGAATAAAATGCTAAATAATGAACTGATACTTGTTGAAGCTGGGTGCCAAGTACAGGGAGTTATAATGGTCTCACTATTTATGTGTATGTTTTAAGTGTCCCATAACAAGTGAAAGAAATACTTAGCTTCAGATAAGAGACCAGTGAAAGGGGAATTTCTGGTTTTTAAGTGCCTAGTCTTGGGTGCAACAGAAGTGGCAGCTGGAGAGAAGATTATGGGATCATACCTTGAATTTTGTTGTCAAAATACACATATGTTGTTTTGTCATCTTGAATTTTCTTCCATTCAATCCTGGGATCATTTGTCTGTGAATCTGTTATGATACAAGACAGCTCCACACCTAGAAAGTAGAGAGAAAAATGCTTTCAGTGGAGATGAAGTCATCCTAGGTAATGCACCATGCCACCAGAGCTCCTACTTTGGTATTATATGTGGTTTTTTTGGTTCCCAGTTGGCCCCAAGAGTGCTCAAGTTCCATTAGATGATGCCCATGTTTCTAGTAGCATCTCCTCTATGCCAATAAAAGGTCATATCCACCGCACGAAGTTAACTAGATTTATAGTGACTCTCTTATACAGAGGACAGCCATAGCTTCCACGGCTGTAAAATCTTTGCACAAAAAGACTGGTATATCTTTCTCCCACAGAGCCGCTGGTGGTTTTAAACCACTAATCTTCAGGCTAGCTTCTCAGTGTTTTAACCACCATGACACCTAGGTTCCTTGCTTTCTTTCTACTTACTTTCAAACTCCTGTACTACTGGGGTTCGGTTGCTGGATTTGAGATCCACAGCTTCTAACAAGAAACCTGAAGGGAAAAAGTTAAGCAAATTCAGAGATAATGCATCCAGAAACAGCAAAGACACTAGATTGAGTTTAGTTTTTCTCTTAAACCACAGTTATGAACCATTAAAACAAGGAAATCCAGCATCATTATTAAAAGAGTGGGGCCTGCATGGAGGCAGCTGCATCTGACCTCCACTAACTTCACAGAAGAGAAACATTCTCATTATTAACAACCACTGTACAGACCTATTTCCATTCTCCCGCACCTACATCTATCAATGTCAACACTAACTGTCCCTCCCAATATTCTCGCTACTCTACTGCTGGGCCTACGATCCACTGCAATGGCCACAGAGAACTCACAGAACCACATTCATGATTATGGGCATTATTAGGAAAGTTAACAGGTGACAATTCAGAAACAATCCTGGAAAAAGGATACAATTCATCAGTCAGCTTCTCAAGCATGCTTGTTGGCCCTTCAACCTTTGTGCTTGCAGCACTAGGCCAGTGAAGGGATTGCATAACAATGAAAGAGTTTTACTTTTCAAGGAAAAGAGTGAATTGGTGGGGAGGGGGTGGGCAGGGAGAAAAGTGCAACAATGAATGACTAGAAACCCTAAATCTCTGTAAACTTTCATTACAATGAATTTAATTTTTTTTTTAAAGTTATCTTAGTCCTGCCAATTATGTCTACCATACTACCCCATCAAGTCCTTCAGTAAGCATGGGTGAAGGGCCCTCCTGACTCTGGCTCTGCAGGGAAGTAGTTCCAGGTCAGGTGCCTTACATCGGTCCCTGATTCTCTTCTGCTGTCTTCCTGTAAATCCTCGTATGACCTACCAATCGCCCATTATTATTAGTGCATCCTGATTGCATGTTTGATCAATTTCCCACTGAAACAGTTGGTAAAAAATCTTCTATTTCCTCGTCTTTGACTCTGGTTGCTGGTGCATAGATTTGAATGACAGTGGTATTAACAAGTATTCCTTGTGTGTGTAGGGACATTATTCTATCACTCACAACATTGCATTTCAAGATGGATCTAGAAATGCTCTTGTTAATTATGAATATGACCCCGTTTTGTTTCTCAGCTTTTCATTTCAGCATAGTAGATCATATGATTGTCTGATTAAAAATGTCTCGTCAATCAATCCATTGCATTTTGCAAATGCCTATACAACAAGCTCCAATTTTCCTAGTCATACTTCTCACAGTCCACATTCCAATCATTAGGGTCTGTTTGCAACTGTTCCTCTTCCTTTGTGATTCCCAACAGGAAGGTTCAGACCCAGGTGCCAAATCTGCTAGTCTAACCTATGTGCTCTCTATTGCACATAGGGTTTTTGAAGACCTATGAGGAACAGTTGTAAACAGACACTAGGACATGAAATGTGAGAACCATGAATGTAGGAAAATTAGATATTGTTAAGGAAGAAATGGAACGCATAAATATTGACATACTAGGCACTGGTGAGATGAGATGGACTGGCATGGGCATTTTAAGTCGGATGATCATATGATATATTACTCTGGAGATGAAAAGGTGAGAAAAATGGAGTTGCCTTCATAGTTAAGAAAATAATTTCTAGATCCATCTTGAAGTACATACAATATTGTGAGTGAAAGGATAATATCCATACGCATACAAGGAAGTCCAGTAAATACCACTATCATTCAGATATATGCACCAACAACCAGAGACAAAGAAGAGGAAATAGAAAGTTTTTACCAGCTTTTACAGACAGAGATCAATTGAACATGCAATCAAGATGCATTGATAATAATGGGTGACTGGAATGCAAAAGTTGGGAACAGAGAAAAAGATTCAGTAGTTGGAAAACATGGACTCAGTGACAGAAATGGAGCTGGAGAGAGAATGACTGAATTTTGCACTATCAATGATTTATTCATAGCAAATACATTGTTTTAATTAATTTCAATGAATATCTACAGAGATTTTGGACTTCCATTCATTCATTGTTGCACTTTTCTCCCCGCCCACCCCACCCCACCCCCAGTTCACTCCTCCCCTTGAAAAGCAAAAGAAAATCTCCTTCATTGGTACGCAATCACCCCGCACACTCCCACCCCCAGACCCACCCCAAGTATACTCTACTGTGCAACCCTCATTCTGGACTCTTATTAATGCCCTAAAATATACTACTTTTAGACTATTCTCTCCCTCACCGTCTTCAATGCAAATACATCTTTTAAGAGACAAAAACACAGGTTATACACATGGATTTCACCTGATGGTATGCATAGGAATCAGATTGATTACATATGCAGAAAAAACCGCTGGAGAAGCTCAATATTAGTTGTCAAAACTAGGCCAGGAGCTGACTGTGGAACAGACAACCAACTACTCATATGCAAATTCAAGCTGAAGCTGAGGAAAATTAAACCAAATCCA